CCTCTAAGTGATAAATGGCCTAGGAAAAAATAAGGGCAAAACACATTCCAGACCTAGTTTGTCAGGGTGTCACATACTTAGATTTTAATTCATATTTCATACAAAGACATTCGGGTTTCTCTTGTACCACAAGGAATGGACTCAAGCAGAGAACACATATACAGAATCTATTATGTCATCTGTATTCTCACCATTACATTGGATGGCTGAGTTCTGAGTAGTGGGAAAAACTACTGTTTGGGTGTCAAAAGGTCTGGATGAGGGTCCCAGCTTTACAAATTGATCAGATGGCATGTTTGGGGGTCATTGATCAACTTGTTATAAAATGGAATCAGTGAATGCAAAGTTGTCTTTGCTCAGAGTTTAAATCCATGGAAATGAGTTAAATGAATACTCATGGGCTTATTTTAATGTGCCTTGAGGGGAAAAAAAATCTTAGAACTTTCTGGCCAAACCTGTAATATAAAACTTCCATTAAAAGTATAATATTAAGGTAAAAACATAAATGTAAGGAAATATTAAAAGACATGTATATAGTATGTGTGTGATGGTCTAACACACACAAAAATCTGATAGTGCAAATGATTCAAAGCTGGCAGATGAAATTGGATAGTGTCTCATTTTATTTCTAGTCCTAATGTTGTATGAGACATGGACATTCCCAGGAATTGAGCTTCTCTCCAGCTGTGATGGCAAATGGAAGTTGTGTGTGTGTGTGTGTGTGTGTGTGTGTGTGTGTGTGTGTGTTTGCACAGTATAATGTAACTCTGATCATGGATTCACAGGGACTATATAACATGTTTTGTTGTTGGTTTTTGTTTTATTTGTTGTTCTTTTGTTGTAGGAATTCAAACTCTGGAGCCAGATATAAGTTCCACTTCTAGGCTTTGTCAGTTATCAGCTACAGGAGCTTCCACTTTATTAGACTCAGTCACTTATTTATGTATTGAAGATAATGACTTTTTAAAAAATCAGTGAAGTATAAGTGAGTCAATACGAGTAAAGTACTTATCAGAATGACTAGAACATAAAGCTTATAACTGTATATCTCTATATACTCACATATGTAGAGGTCATGAAATTAAATTCTTCTCTGGAAAGAGCCTTCAGAGTATTATTTATATAACATATAAAGAAAATTTAAAAGAAGTAGCATATTTTTCCTTTGAGCAATTGGGACATCATAGCCACATTTAAGAATGAACTTCATTATATTTGAGGTCTATTCTTATCATTGAGTGCTAAGGTACACCTCTTGATGATTAACATTAAAATTTTCAGTAATAATTGGAATTTAAATGAATGGGAATCACAGTTCCAATACAGCCGTAGCTGCTATCCACAAGGCTCCTTTAATCTGGGTTCCAATTTCTTAGTAATTAAGTTTCTAAAAAAAGGATAACCTTTTAATTTTAATCTGATTAGAATAATAGACCTTTTGCCATGAACAATTAAGCTGATTATGTTTTATTTATAAATTAATTTTATGAAGAGAATTTTAATAAAAATGTTTTGAAAGGCTTTCTGGTCTACTATTTAGAATAACTGAAGATATTTATAAGTGATCTTCACTGAATATGTGATTCATTAGGATTAGATTTTGGGATTGAATATTTGCAACATTGATGTCCTTGAGATCTATATCCTTTAAAAAATTATATTTCATAGCAGGTTTGTTAAATATAAAGGCAAAAACCAAAATCAGAATCAAAACCATACAGTGTTACAGTTAATCAACAATAAGTTTTGCTTCATACTTTAAAGCAAAATGTTATGGTGAAGATATGGTCTTTGGTGCATCAGTTCTGTGGGAGGACACAAAGGGACCAACTTGAGAAGGAATTATATGTAAATATATATTCAGTATATACACTTTCTTGTTTGACAGCTAATGATTTTAATTTAAAATAAGCCTTTATAATCTCATAGTAATTTTATAGTACAAGAGATTTTACTTGTGTTGATCTTTGTGCAATATAGACAGGAAAAATAAAACTCTGAGATTAAATGACTTACTAAAGATATTCTTGTCGAAAACAGAACTTGGACTAAAATCATGGTTTTTTTCTTTTCCAGTGAGGAATTATCTTACAAAGTAACCTAAAAGTGGACTCTCATTTAAGAATTTGGGTGCATACAGTTTATTTGACATTGGTCCAATAAATGCGAGAAAAGCAAAGGGAAAGTAAGTCAAGAAAGTGTAGAAAATCACAGAAAGGTTCTTTAATAAATAAATTGCTAAAATGGTCAACTGGGATCAATCTCATTGGAAACTCTGAACAACTGCAGAAACTACTGGCCCTCATGTACCTGATATTCTGGCTTGTCCCTCTTCTACATAATTAGAAACCATTGTAATGTATGGGAGTTGCCTGCAGGTGGTAGCCAGTGTGGGCTGTAGGAATATATTTCACTGAATAACTTGGTAACTGGGCAAGGTCAATTACACGTGTTTTTAGGACAATACAGATTTCCCACAAGATCTATTGACATTAAATTAAACTTAACCAAAACTGTATCTACTGAACTTACATCTTATTCTTAGAATCAATCATATTGCACATGGCTATTTTTAACCTAGAAGTCACAGTCAGCAATGCCAATGATATTTTTGTATTGCTGTCTTTTGTTCCATTATCTAGTTGACCACCTATGAAACTCAGAATACCAAATTCCTAGTTATGATCACCTCTCAGATTCATTCATTTATGTATTCACACCTACTATGTACCTGGCACTGTTTTAAGTGCTGGGTTTTTGGTAGAGAATAAAACAAACAAAATTCATGACCTTAAAGACCTTATAATCAAGCGGCAGAACAGAAAATTAACAAACTAGCAGATGAACATATAGTAAATTTGGTAATGAGAGGATCTATGAGGAAAAATAAAGTGTGAAAAATAAGTGTTGCTGGAAGAGAGGGAAAAATGATATTTTGTATAGAATTGTTAAGAGAAACCTCTTTGATAAGATGACATTTGCAGAGACCTGATGTGAGGAAGGAAAACCATTCATATAATTCACACAAGGCACTCCAGATGGTTCACATAGCACCTCTGAGTTCACCATAATGACTTTGGCCAGGACTTTTAGTGAGTTCAGAAGCAACATAAAGCTATTTTAAAAGAAATAATGTGATCCCAATTACGTCTTTAAGAAATAGAATCCTACTTTTGTGAGGAGAATAGACTACAAATGCAAAGAGTGAAATCAGAACCATTTAGGGGACTATTGAAATATTCTAGACCAAAATTATGGTGAGGTTCATGGGACTGTTTGACTCATTACGTTATTTATACAAGGCATACTGTTTATATAAATTCATAGATACATAAATTCATGTGTCAATATGTTGTATATATTTAGAAATTATTTTGTATTATTTGCTTTAGAGTAAGGATTTTGTATTGTTCTTTATTGAAACAAAATGTGCTCAGTAAGTATTACAAAATCAAAATTTGAAAATTAAATAACTACCTGAGGGATGATTATTAGTACTAATATGAGTATAGACTACAGACATGTGTCTGTCTTCCAAGCTCCAACAGACCTTATGTTTTCTGTTTAACAATATTTCTGTATTATAGTATGAACTAACCAACCACTAGTTTGTGATTTTTGTGTCAAGGACCATCTAGTAAATAGTCTAGGTTGTGCAGGCCATAGTGTTTGGTACAACTATCTGACTTGTTGGGCACATAATGTATAAGCAAATATGTTTGTATTCCAATAAAGTGTATATGGACGCTCAAATTTGAATTGTATATAGTTTTCACATGTCACTCAATATTAGTCTTCCTTTAATTTCTTTTCAATCATTTAAAAAATGAAAAACTATTCTTAGCTCACAGGCTATACAAAAACAGTTGGCAGCAGGTCAGATTTGAGCCATGAGCTGTTGTTTGCAGACCCCTGGTATAAATTATTAGGAGTTGACTTTTATCTGTGCTTCATTGATTTGCTCTCATTCTACTTTTGGATACCTTTGCTTGCTAGGCTTCTCTTTCTTTTGTGAAATTGAAGCATATCCTCGTGTAGCTTCCACCTGTGATTTCTAAGTTTCGCCATCTGGAGCAGAATAGTATAGAATCTCTCTCCTGTGCCTTCACATAGGCCTTCACAAGGTCAAAGAAAGCCACCCCAATGCTCTTGGCTTTCTCTGCCTTTCAGTGTTCCTTAAACTCTCTACAGATACTTACATTTAACAGCCTTCTCCTCTGTTTGTTCTGTAATTTTCTAATTAGTCCTTGTAAAATGAACACAAACTAAACAGAAACTTTAAGCTGTTGTCTGTCTAATGGAGAGTACAATAGAATTTTTGTTTCCGAAGATCATTGTATTAGGCCACAATTAGGTATGATTGCTGGGGGTATGCATATGTTGGTTTATTTTGCTGGTTTTTATTTGTTTGAATATAATGTACCCAATTATAAAGATACATTATTTGTAAGTGATCAGATAATTCTGGTATTATTTTTCATGATTATTAGTGGTTAATTAACATTTATAACTATATATATGCATGCCTTTATTCTTTAATTGCTGTAAACTACCCTTGCCAAACATGGCTATAGAAAGAAAATAAACAGTACAAAACAATAAAGATTTTTAAAATCAGAGTGACATTAGGAGAGTCATAAATCCTTTTTCTGGGAGTTGGATCTATCAAAGCTAAGTAAAAAACAAGCTATTGAAATAGCTCATCATTGTCTTCTAAGTGACTTTGTTCGACCTATTCTTGTCCCCCAACTCCCCCATTGGCATTGATTTCCCGACTAGATTGGCTTATAATATACCATCTTCAGTCCCATTGAGTATAGAACCACTTATGATGCTCATGAAGCATGAGATATCTATGTGAATTATAAGCAGCACTGTATTTTCCTATAGAAAAATATTTAATTTTTACTTAATAGTCTGACTTTGCTGTTATTAAAAATTGTGTTTATCTGAACAATTTAAAGCAAAAAACACATTGACTTTTATTTTGTACTTACCAGGTTCCGGGTTGAATGATGGGCAGTGGCATGAGGTTCGTTTCCTAGCCAAGGAAAATTTTGCTATTCTCACCATTGATGGAGATGAAGCATCAGCAGTTCGAACTAATAGTCCCCTTCAAGTTAAAACTGGCGAGAAGTACTTTTTTGGAGGTAATGCCATTGTTTCTTGGTTAGCTAATCCATGTTAACAGTGCAGTTTCAAAATACAGTTTGATTATGAATAATTTATATTTGATTCAGTGGACTCAGTAGATCTCAGGATAAAACAATTCTATAATTCCATCGAGCTAAAAAGAGTTGAAAATTTTTGTTTGTGATGAGATATTAATGTGATGTCTCTGTGTTCTGGTTCAGTTCAAATCTTTAAAGCATAACACATGAGATTCTGAATTCATTCATTCTCATAATACTCAATAGTTAAGTCCTTGAATATGTACTGGTCACCCCATTGCTGTGTAACTAATTACTCCAAACCTTAGAATCTTAAAATAACACACATTTATTATCTCACAGTTTCTCTAGATTGGGAATTCAGGAATGGATTAACTGAGTGATTCAGACTCAAGGTCTCTTGTGAAGTTGCCCTCAAGCTGTTGGCTGTAGCTGCGTTATTCAAAGCCTTGACTGAACTAGAACATCTGCTCCCCAAAAGACTCACTCACATTGTTGATAGTTGTTGTAGGCTACTTGCCAAGATGCCTCATTTCTCCTCCATTTGGCCTCTGACTCTGCAGTGCCTTTCTTCTTCAAGCAGCCTCTCCTACAGGTGGCTGCAGAGAGAAGGAAAGAGGGAGGGCGAGAAGGCCTGTAACCAAGAAAGTCCCCAACGTAGAAACTGTAGAGATCTTTAAAAATAATCCAATCTTGGCAGTGACATCCCATCACTACTGTTATATATAGTTAGTTAAAAGTGAGACTCTAAATCAGTGTACACATCAAGAAAGGGGATTACACAAGGATATGAATACCAAGAGCCAGGGATTACTGGGGCCATTTTAAGGGTTGCCTGCCATAGGCTACTTTATATAAAAACCCATTTTTATCACAAATGCCTTAGTTCTTAAGTAATGAAAAAATTACAGAAGGAAGATTCTCTTACAATAATTTCTTCTATGTGTGAAAAAGTCATAGCAAGGACCTGCCATATTTTCTAATTGAAGAAATGTGTCCTGCCAGATTACAATAATTTCTCCCATGTGTGAAAAGTGTTGTAGCAAGGATCTGCCATATTTTCTAATTGAAGAAATGTGTCCTGCCAGAAAATGATCTTCTAAATAACTAACAAATTAAGGAACACCTTTTATTAAAGTGCTAGACGCTTATAGCCAATGAGCAGTTTTGAAAATAAAATAAAGTACTGGTGTGTTATTTACATGTATACATCTTTTGCTAAATTACTGTGCTTTTCATCCTAAATGATGCAATGTGAGATCTACAAAATATACCAAATTTATTAAAAAGACTTTGGTAAAGCTTTAAAAAATATGTTACATATGCAGGGGTGCCAATGTATACACATTTTAAGTACGACGTTCGCTCAAAAGATGGTGTTAAGCAAAAATGCTAGCATTACCATGGGACAGGCAGGACAGTCAAAGAAAATGGTGGAAGCATGGTTCAACAGATGTCATACTACACATTACTGCCTTAATTTAATTCAACTTCAAAAAGTAAAACATAGATAACATAGCTTAAAATGTGTATACATTTTTGGCACCCTGTATTTGTCTCTGAAAATACTTCTATTAATATTCATATCTCTATTTTTCATTTACATAAGTATATATCACTGTATGCACACACACATATTTTCTAGTAATTAGAGTAAGACTGCTGGAGAGCAGTCACCTTATTTGTCTTGTCTCCTGCTATATCCCCCAAGGTCCTAGAAAAAAATTCTAGAATCTTGTAGATGAAAAATAAATATTTATAGATGAATTAGTAAAATTCTGTAAAATACGCAAGACAGATATTTTATTCCCGATTGTCTAGAAGAAGAAACAGAAGCCCTAGGCATTTTACTGACTTGCCACTGAGTTTATAGTCAGCACCTGAATTCAAGGTGTCTGATCCCTGTACGAGGGCATTTCTCCCCAACTGATTAGTGACAGCTTAGAAACAGAAATCATGAACTGGGCTTCTGCTTCTTTAATCTTCCATGGTGTTTGTTGGAAGTTAAGACTACATGATTTTTAAAAAGTCTTTCAATAAATATTTGATAAGTAGATGAAAGCCAGATGAGATGTCTTATGAGCAAATGAACTGGACAGATTGATGGGAGAAAAAAACTCAATCACCAAACTGGTTTCCCACCAAAAACATATTCAATATGATGGGCTTGTGGCCAATAGTTTTCACTGCTGTCATAGTGAATGGATCTCAATTATCACTTGGAAAGCTATTGATAATCTCTATTCATCCCTCAACTGGCATATTTTTGGTCATAGATGAGCTTCCTGAATGCCTAAGGCCAATTTTCCTCTATTTCTGTCCTGATAGGTGAGCAAATGACTATAACCATACATTGTGGCATAGAGTTTATAGAATGTGAGATCTTGATGGTGAGCTATTTACTATTGCTTTACAGATTTTGGTTTTTAAATCTAGAAGTCAGGATAATATTGACTTCCTCTTGGGTCTGTAGTCTGCCTTTAGGATATGCTGTCAACAAATGATCATGATGACTTTTTGGTTATATCCTCATGTGAAGCCTCAGAGTGTGTAAGAATCACCAGGAAACTTTGTAACAATTCAGGTTCTTAGGCCCCACCTCTGAAACTTTAAAAGGCAGGGTGCTGAGAAATTGAATAATTCTACACTTTGGTATTCTGATAAACTCGATCTGAGGAACAGAATTATAGATGACCTTAGCCGATTTGCATGCACATCTTTTAGATTCTTGTTGGAAGGTGTCACCCATCAGTCACTGAAAAGTTTGGGTTGTATGAGAATTAGCTACCCTCCTATAGTTTTGCTCCCAGGGAGCAAATAAAAGAAGTATAGGACAAGCTCTGGTATGCATAAAGACATTTATTAAAAGAACGTATTTATTAACAGGCAAGCACAATGCTGTTACTACAGACTCTTCCATAAGCTCAATGAAGTTCCAGATCTCTGACTAGCTGTGTTTTGAATAAAATGTTATCTTGAAGCAACCACACAGAATAGTAGGATTCAGCTATACTCAGAGTTCATGCCAGGCAACAGAAAGCCTTCTGATCAAATGGCTAGCACAGGGTCACTAAGTGATTCTGACTCCAGAACCATCTCTAAGGGTTTAGTTTCTAGGCCTCACCGCAGTCTTATACTATCACCACACGAAGCTGGATGTGTCTCTAAAAGATGTTTATCAAACTCCATATACTTAACATCTTAAAGTTCACCACTGAGATTTCCTAACATTTATCTGACACTTACTTGTATGCTAATTAACAACCTCTAATTTCACCCAAGAAAACCCAATTTGGCATACAGTTGATTAGAGGATTAGTTCATTCAAATGATTAAGTTGATTAGAGAAGCAGACAGCAAAAATCTCAGAGTAGCTACCTCTGGAGTGGCTGCAATGTTTCTGAACTAAGGCTCATGACTGCTTCTACTGATGGCTTTCTGATCCGAATACAAGCTGCCTCTGGGTTGTAACCTCAACTAAAACACACAGGCATACCACTTCATATCACGCACAGGCACACCACTGCATATCACCTATGCTAAAAGTTTTAACTTAGGTTTCAGATGTTATAATAAAAACATCATGAGACACTAGTATAGTGGAAAGAGGAACTGACTTTATTTTAAAATGCAAGCTTTGGAATCATGCACACCTGGTTCCTAATCAAGGCTTTACCACTTAGTTAATGAGATCTTTAATATGTTATCTTACTTTCTTTATCTGTTAAATGGCAATATAATCTGTTTTGTGAACATTCCACAGCATAATCTGTAAAACCCATGTGACCTTGGGGATGCTAAGTGCTGAATGCCTTTCCAATTCATCTTGAATTTTTAACTTGATCAGAGACAATGCCTTCCGAGGAAGATGTGAGACCTCAGACTGTTACTCATCTAACAGTCTCTTATCAGCTTTTGCACTACTCAAAGTATTTCTTTATTGTTAGTCATGAAAAAACAAAGAAAAGTACTTTTTCTGCTCACTGAAAATCTTAAGTAAAGGCATTGCTGCCCTCCTGTACTCAGTTTTGTTTCCAAACCTTTAAACATGTTCACACTTTGTTTCTTTTGAAGTCCTGGTTGTGTAGCTTCCTTTGCAGTCCAGGCTAGGTGGTTTCACACCAGTGTGCAATTTTGTCTCTCTGTACTTGTTCTCTGCTAATCCCAGGAAAGGTTTTAGCTCTCCTTTGTAACACCGTGATCAGATGTTTAAGTACCAAGAATTTTCTTTTGCCATGTTCTTTCTTGGGAATAAGCAGACTGAGAAGGAGATTAGTCATTTGGAATGTTTTTTCAGCAAAAGATGCCTTAGCTGCTTTAACTTGTTTTCTCTTTCTCCAAACTAGAATTCTTTTAGATATACTCCATTAATTTTAATAATCAAAATAATAGACATAATAATTAAATGTATGCATTTCTTGATAATGAGCAAACAATTACTGAAATAGGTTGGAGTCCATGGTTATGAGAAAACAGTGAGATTTCTATTAATCAGTTTGTAAATTTTCTTTGGTATTTTTGTTATCCCTTTTGTTTTCATTAAAAGAAAATGAGGCGAGATAAGGACGTTCTAGAGCCAATCACATTGAAAAGGGAGTCTAAGGAACACAGTAGGGAAGGAGGAAGCTCTCAGGAAGGTACCAAAGCAAGGGAAGAAGGCAAGGGAAAAGGAAGACAGGGGGAGCTGCCCTGAGTTTGACAAGATTTGTGTTAATCAGACTTAATTAAAGAGCACATCCCTTTCTAGCTCACTGGCATACAGCCATCTTGGTCAGTTGGGCCGCTATAACAGAATATCATAAATATGTGGTTTAAACAACAGAAGTATATGTCTCGCAGTTCTGGAGGCTGGGGAGTCCAAGATCAAGGGATCAGGGTTCTGACAGATTCAGCGTCTGGTGAGGGCACTTATCCTGGTTTGCAGATGGCCATTTTTTTCATTATATTTTCTCATGGTAGAGAGAGAGAGAGAAACAGAG